TGCCTGACATGTTTCTGGGCAGTAGGTGGCCCCACTTCAAAATTTCTTTAGAAATTTTTCTAGAAACTTGATAGACATTATATTAAGACCCTTCTAGTGCACATATTAATGACATTTTTGATATTATGTAAGGTTTGGCTGTGCAGCTTTTAAGATGAGTTTCTTTCTGCCATTTTAGTGCCAAATAATTCTACCCTACAAAAATCTTCAGATGATTCAATTGTTTTCTGCAGTTTGAAGTTTCTGATGACTTCCTATCACATTTTCATATGTTCTGCAGTTAATTTCAGCTTTATTCATTCAGCAAAAGCATTCCCACTTGCTGTTTCTCCGAAACAGCTTTTTCTAGTTTTAACTACTGTTAAACTAAAAAATTTCAGAGGATAATTTCTCACTTTTTTTCACCAACTGATTTTACAGAGTTGGTATCGCTAGCATGCTATTGTTAGTATGATTGCTAATAATAACATGCTATTAAATGTACTGTATAAGTTAGTTCAACACATAGCCTGAGCTAAGGTTTATTAATATGTTACAAAAACCTAGCAGGCCTAAAGAAGAATTTTAGCTTAGCTAACTTAAGTGTTAAAATATGGTTTCCTACATATTGCTCACTTGCTAATAGTCCTAAAACCTGCTTTTGGAACTTTATAGTAATGCTTTCCATTACTACAAAAAATAAAAGCCTAAGTATTATTTGGTTTAACTCTTTACCCTTTCTCTAGACCAGGGGTCGGCAACCCAAACTGCCCAAAGAGCCATATTAGACCAAAAAACAAAAAATAAATCTGTCTGGAGCTGCAAAAATGTAAAAGTCTTATATATATGCCTCGTATGGCAACACGGGCTCTAGGTGTATTATCCCAATATAGAAAAGGACTATGTGGGCTTAAATATATATTAAGCATTCATGATTAAATGTTTATCCTGGAGCAAATGTCACATAGCAGCATGAGGTGAGGGAGGAACACTGAACGCTCTCACTGTGCGCCGCTTCACCTCCCTTCACCGTGCGGCTTAGGTTTTGTGGCATTGATGAAATTATAGAAACACGTTAAAGACCTCTTTCTATGGTGGACGTGTTTCTGTTGGGCGGAGTTGATTGAGTCGTGAGGAGTCATGAGAAACCCTGAAATCCCACATCCTCCGTTACCATCGTTGCTGGGTGTTATTTATATTTTTAGGATTTGGGGAAAAAATGGCTTAAAGTTCACAGACCTGCATCAGAGCGCTACCTGTTGGATCTGTGGACGGTTTTCCATCCTTGCAACCAAACTAGCAGCAGTAGTGAAGTTTGGAGATATAATCCACTTCTTAAAACTATCTTTGCGCTCCTCTAATTTATCCAGAAGTTCTGCAATCGAAATTTTTCTCTCACTCCCCGCTTGGTGGTCGGCTGCATAGTTAGCTTGCCTTCCCTGGAAATGCCTTTCCAAATTTTATTTATAGTTTTTGACAACCTGTCATTACAAAGCAAACATGCAGGCAATCGTTCCGCATTGATAATAAAAGTAAATGATTCGGTCCATTCTTTGAATCCTCTTTTCTCATCAGCTATCTTCCTTTTTTCCCCTTGGGATCCATGGTCTGAGACACACCAGTTTGCCTGGCACCAAGTTATGACCAATGATCTCTATGGCTATGACGCAAATTATTTTTTAAATTTATTTATTATACAAATGTTTACAGCATTGGAAAACATAATACATTTTTGTTTGACCTCCTGCACGCCATATTAAAACAAACAAAGAAAATCGATTTTCATACATTTTTTAAAAAGCTCCAGGGAGCCACTAGGCGGAATCTAAAGAGCTGAATGCAGCTCCAGAGCCGCCGGTTGCCGACCCCGATCTAAGCTAACTACAAATATGATAAACAAACGTATCTTTAGCCCTTTAGTGAACCATATAAAGTCTACCAAAAATTAAAGCTACTATCTGTTTATGTTTGCTCACTGCAAAATTTGGTTCCTTATTTGTAATAGCTCTATATAAAACTCAGTATGAAAAACTGTATTATTTTAGTCTGCATATAGCTATACATATAAAATTACAAGACATTAATGAATGTTAATGTATTTGTCTTGACAGGCGACTCAGAGCACAAGCCCTACATCTGTGGAGACGCAGACCATGGTATTTTTCCATTAGATGGCTCAGAAGACTACCTGATATTGGCCTGTGATGGATTCTGGGACACCGTGAGCCCAGATGAGGCGGTGCGGGTAGTCAGTGACCATCTCCTGGAGAACACTGGAGATACCACCATGGTGGCCCACAAGCTAGTGGCCTCTGCCCGAGATGCAGGTTCTAGCGATAACATAACTGTCATAGTGGTGTTCCTGCGGGACCCACGCTCACCTCTGCCCACCAGCAGAGAAGATGAGGAGGAGGGCGGGGTGGAGGAACAGGTGGCGGAGGAGGAGGTAACTGAAGTGGAGGAAGAGGACCAGGAAGAGGAAGAGGAAGAAGATGAAGCAATGAGAGTAGAGCGCGACGGAGGTGAGGGAGGCAGTGCGGCAGATGTTGGAGGCAAAAGCCGTGGAGGGTGGCCCCTGCAGCAGTGCTCAGCTCCTGCAGACCTCGCCTACGAAGACCGAACAGACTCACTCACGGACAGAACCAGCCTCAGTTTGCTGGGGCCGTCCCTGGAGGGCCACATCTCTCTGATCCGGGGTTCAAGGAAGCCCTGCTTCACCTTTAGCCCCAACCTCTTCACAGCCTCCTACAACTACCGAGGAGAACGCCCGCTGAGACGCAGGTCATGCGTCCCGTTTCAGGAGCCTTGCATTTCTAGCTTTACGGACCCACTGTGGCCCCAAACAACCATGCTTTTAAGCCAAGCGATGAGGCGAAACCACAGGTGGGATCACATTAGCCGCCAAAGGGGTCGGAGGTGGCTTAGCAGATCCAAAGAGCTGCTAGGTCTGATACCCTCCGGCCACAGGCAGTGCAACTCCCCCTGGAGGCCTGGAGTGGCAATGCCTCACCTGCCCTATGATGCCACTATCTGAAGGTTAAGCCAAACCAAACCATTTCCATGGTTCACTTCTCCCCCGGCCCCACCCACACCCCCCACCCCACCCACCTTTGCCTTCAAAATCACATCTTTCTTTGATAGTAAGTAGTTGTGGCTCCTGCAGTCATTATGTGATTAATCAATCAATGTTAGAGGACCGATACTCTCTGTCCGAAGTCAAAATGTTTCACAATGTAAGCTGGCCCACTGAACACAAGCCCTGCTTGTTGATGCTTTAAGTGAAGCCCGAACCACATCCTCTCTGTTGTGACCACTTATTAGTTGATATAAAATCTGAGCGCCAAACGCTGAACAATAGGATGTATTCACAGGCTGAATGTGACATAAATGTTGAAAAAAAAGCCACTACAGCAAGATATGTATTTGGTGCAGAGCAGACCATCTACTGCAAACAGTTCAAATAAATTTGAGAGGTATAATTTTAAGAAAAATGTAACAAATAATTCCAAGTACCTTTGAAAATCAGTAACAAATGTTATAAACAAGTAGGAGCTTAGTTTTGTTTTGGGCTCTGAATGCTCTCAAGTGATAAAAAATATTAACTTGCATTAATTTATTTATGTGCCTGGTTGTACTATGATCTGTAGAGAGATGTTATTTATTTTGGAAAAATAAAAGAGCAACTTTTGTTATTGAAAGAGAAAAAAAATATACTAAAGGATTCAAAAAGTAGGTTATGAAAGTCGTCCCCATGTAGTTGTAACACTGTAAGGATTTGCTCCCTCTCTCTCACAGCAGCACTAGTAGGATTGGAAGCTGATATTCTCTCATTTTGATAGCCATTCTTTGATGTAATAATTTAGTCTTTTGGAAACCATATATACATCATATGTTTTTAAAGACTTAAGTGTAATAACCATGGTGATGACTTTTTCTTTTTTGACACTTCCCTTATTTTCTCCCACAAAGTCAGAACATTTGGTGCCTCCAGAAGTTATTCACATCTCCTTACTTTTTCTAAGTATAACAATATCTTTTGGTACATAGCGTGCTAAATCTCATAGAAATTTGACAAATTATTTTCAGAAATGTATCAACCAAAGATTTTTACTGAGGTGTGCAATTATTTTATTGACAAAAATTCAAAAGTTAGGTTATTCATAGCTACTGCTGTCTTAACAAAAAAATTATCCCACAGGATGATGCTTCCTCTTCTGTTTTTTGATAAGGATTACCTATTTTTCCCCACAGATTTTGCTTGGTTTCAGGCTTAATGCCCTATGCTATGACTTTCTTGAAGTTTTGGTGGCTATAATCGGGCAGCCCTGAAGTCAGAAGGCTTCCATCTGGAGGCTCTGGGGTGAAAGGTTGATTGCTGGAGAGGTCAGCCATTGGTGACCATTGAATCCAGACCTTCTGGATTTGTCTATCTACACATTCTTTCATTTATCTCATTTCCATTCCTTTGACTTCAGTCCCTCGCTTCTTGTCAGAAAATCCACCTTGAGCTGTTCGTGACCTTAGCAAAGATGGCCTCATAATACATTTTAAAAGACAAATCAGAAAAAAATTTATGCACTTTATCTCATATTTGAGTGTGAAAGCATGTAATTAAATCTTTTATGTTAGAATGTTTACATTTTTAAATAATTTCTGAAAACATAATTTTTATTCAGTTTCTCCTAAGGGGTAATTAAAAGAAGGTTTAATAAATAAAAAAAGAAGGTTGTAAAGGGCTGTGAATAAGTTCTGCTGGCACTCTACATTCTTTATAGCTGTATGTTATAGTCATTATTTTCCTTAATTGAAACTAACAGACTTCGGACCAAATCTTCACAACTTAATTTTGTTACATCATTTTAATTTTCCCCATCCAAGAAAAATGGCAATCTCTCTGTCCATAGTGGAAAACAGAAGGATTGTGTGATATCACTGCTTCTTCATCGTCTTTAAATAAAACATATCATTTTTTGACATAAATATTAACTGACTGTGCATTATATCAAGCTCTAATGGCTTATCCTGCCTTTTTGCTCTCTCAACATGCCTCTGGTATGGATGGATGCTCCCGGTTCGTGGTACTGGAGGCAGATGCTATTCTTCCCCCACCCAGTAATGACCCAGCAATTATCCTACAATTCGTCTACTCTTAAAAGCATTAACTGTCGGATTATAAAAGATTAAATTTCACCTACCTGAATATATGCCTCTTGTTGTCCAGTAAAGATGGGTTGGATGCCTTGGTTAATGGGCTTTTAGGCGGAAGGATATTGAGATGTATATTGTTTTTGTTTTTTTAAGTCTTATAGCTATACATGCATCTGCTTTCAGGAAAAGCATTTTTTAAAAGTATGGTAAAATGATTATTTATACTAATAGAGAAAGTGAAAAGAAAACATCATCTTTATGTTTGAGGCCCACTTCCCCATCACTCTGGATTACTTATCTACAAGATCAATGCATTGATTTCACCTTAAAGCAAACTACTGGGAAGTCTGACAATAGTTTAATAGCTAAAAAACTAATTTAAAACCACTCTGTCAGATAAACAGTAAAGTAGCATAAGACCATTGTTGTGTTGTTGAACTCCAACACAATAATGCAACAAAGGGCCTCCGAACGCATTCTTTTCCATGATATGCTGTGTTTTTATTTAAAAAGAGGATTTTTTTTTTAAGGTTTAGTTAAAAAGGGGTTGCTGGTCATTCATTGATCAATAATAAAAAATACTGTATGAGATTAATTTATTTAAAAGCAACTTTTGGTGTCAACAGTCCTTCTGCAACAATACAGAAAACACCTTCGTTACCACAAACTGAAAGATGGTTCCCTCTGAAATCCACTGAGGCCCGCCACAAAAAAAATTTAATTGGATGTGACTGTGATCTGCTCCAGATTTGGAACGGTGTCCCCCATTGCTGCTGTCTAATATCTAGCTTCTTATTATTATCAGGTCATCAAAGTCTTTAGTAAGCTGAATACTTTTTTCCTATTTAACTTGGTGGATCTAAACTGTTTAGAGTTAGACAATTTTTGTTGTCATAAAATGTGTTATAACTACAAAACGACCCTTTTCTAAATGTACCAAATAATAAATCTGTAAAGACAGTTTTTAAAATATTTTTTTAGTGACTAAAACGTGGGGCTTAAAAATGAACAATGGTATAAACCATAAAATTGACAAGAAAATAAGTAATTAAACTGCAGTTTCAGTTATGATCCAATTTTGTACTGAGTGAACATTGATTTCACATTCTAAGCCAATGACTGAAAATGAGGGAAAATTAAAAGGAAATTAAAATTTTAAAACTGTCATATTTAACATATGGTTGTTTTTACAGACTTCAAGTCCCATGATAGAAAAAGTTAGCCTCCTCTAGCTATCATGATTGGTTGAAATTAACTTAAAAGAAAGATACATTATGTTGAGAACTATCAGTAATGATATCAATTATAAACTATTTGTTTAAAGCTGTCAAATGTGAAATCAAACAGTTATTTCAGCCGTCATAACCAGCGATTTGTGTTAAACCTAACTTTATAAGAGGCACTTTGGCCTCATCCAATCTTTAAAAGGGTCACTTACAGCTTTATTTTAAAAATTTGATTTCACTTACAAAAGGCCCCCTGTTCTGGTGTTATACCTTTAGTCTCATTTAATTACCGTAGCAGCTTTAGCCACTCTGTATACTTCAAAAGACCAGGGTGGTATATATTAAGGTATATACTGCCCTGTGTGTGATAAAGAAACCAAGTGGTGGAATTACATTTCCATTTTAACACGCATTATTATCATCATGTTATATATATATTTGAAGTTATACATAAATGTACCCATTACGTTAAATGATACATAGAATAGCTGTAGGGAAGTAATATTCGACTTGGTAAATAACCCAACGTTAAACTGCTTTGAACGAGTAATCCACCCATATAAAACCAACTGGAGAAATAACATTAAAATTCTTGACCAATTGTTTTAATGGGTGGCTAATTACATGGAAGCATAAGTTATTTTAAACCAGTTAATTTCATTATTGAGATTAAATAGGCAACCAGCGAGGTACAAAGTGTTTTTTATTGACACATTCATCAGATATAAACTAGAAAATATGTATTTATATTCTGTGCTGATCCATTAATCTGCGTCAAAGTTGGTTGAGATTACAGTTTCATTAAGGGTCATGTCATTTGTTTCCATTAGATCAAAATGTTTCCACCGCTGTTAGTAACTTTGGTTAAAGGGACCAAGTTGGCAAATTCTAAAATACAGGGGAAAACTGCCAACATAGTTATTATTTAGAAAGTTGTTTTTATTGAATACATTCCTTTAACTTTTCCCATTAATGGATATGAAGGTTTAACAAAGTGATTTAAAACAAATAGTCCTTAACTAAGACTTAATCTACAAATTGTCTATTTAAGGAGTAATTATTCCAGAATGGATTATATTCCATTGACGAGTAAAATCTGTTCATCACATCCAACTTCTGTGAACATGTGGACAGAACCCGGTCCACCAGTATCACTTCCAGTCTCTAACTGGTGTTATCCTGTGATCATGCTGTTAGGAGAATTAGTGGAGCAGAATATACTTTGTGTCCCAGAATTTGGAGAACTAGGTCTGACACGTGGACACATTTTTGTTTTTGTTCCATTTTTTCGGTTAAGAACCATTTAAACTGGGGAGGCTTTGAGCTGTTCGAAATGTGCTATGAAGAATGCAAACCAAAAGCCATTTAATTTCCCTGTGGGTGCAATGCCACACAATTTATCTCTAAAGGCCTGAAGGGAACAACCATAAGGAATAACAGTCATTTAAACTATTCACTTAGGCATGAGTGTTTGTGTGTATATTCTGAGTACTAACTGGAAGTGGAGCGAGTGGTGAAGGAGTGTACATACAGTAACTGTATTGTAAAACGTTTTTATTCACAAAACTCAGCATTTTCCAGCGCTGCACAGAGATAGAGATGGAGTTCCTGTTTTGTTTTGAACTCATAGTAGGCCTGCCGTAGCTTATCTACAATATTATCCTGATTTTCACTCAGACAGAAATAGTCATACAGAGATACATGAAACTGTTATTTATCCACATACTAATATTGAAACTCTTCAGTGATAACGGCCATATTCCCATTTCAAATAAAGTTTCTAGTCCCAGATTGCCTTGTTGAGGAGAATAAGATCCCAAAACTTGTAGCATTGAATTTTTTTTGTCGTCGAAAAAATAGAGAGGAATAAATGTCTTGAGTTTCTTGTGTTAAGTTCAGTCATTTACTGGTTCAAAGACCACGGTGGTACCGATTGATTGGTTAGCTACAGACCTGATCTGAACCTCATAGACGATTCTAGAGGGTATCATCAAAGAGGAGGATGAGAGACACCAGACCCAACAATGCAGTGGAATTAAAGGTCACTATCAAAGCATCCATTACACCTTAGCAGAGCCACCAGCTGATCATTTTACAGCAGAAGGAGCTCTAACCAAGCCCTGAGGGCAGCAGGAGCATGTTTCAGTTGGCTCACATTCATTTATTCATAGAAAACATCAATTTTAACATTTTCTAAGAGGCTGCATTTTGGGTTTTCCAGATCTGTCGGCCATAAACTTCCAAAATTAAAAGAAACGTTGATGGCTTGATGTATCTCTGTAACATTTCAAGGCTTTGATTATTATTGAAATGACTGAAAGCAATGATTGTTTCAATGGTACTCTAATTTATTGAGTTGTACCTGTGTCTCTTCTGATGTGGGAATATTAAGGATTCCCTTGAGGAATGACAAAGCTTAAGTGGGAAAATTTTTTTATTTAAATAAAAGAAATAATTGTTAGTATTACATGGTTATATGCAGTGAAGAGGCTTTGTCTGCAGATCCAAACCTGCACAAAACAGCTGAGATGTATAGGTTTCCTTTTCAACATGATGACAGCAGGTGTAGTCTCTCTTTCTGCTCATTAAATAAAACTAAACTCCAGGCGTAGTCATAATCACAAGTTTTTTTAATTAAAACTTTGGCAAATTTGATTCAAATCAATACAACATTGTTGCTAAGAATCCCCCAGATCATCACTGTATAAGCAATAAACGTGTTCTTGGATCATTCGTCGTGGTAAATCCTCCTCCTCGCTCTGCTTGCACTAAAAAGAGTCAGATGCCCCCCCCCTTCATGGTGACGTCAAGCAGAAATTCAGCTCTGCTCCCTTTGTTAGTGCTGTCCAACTATAGGGCCCATCATCAATCTGTACCATGTCTATGTACACAACCAGCTTTTTCCTTTTCTTTGTAAGCAATAATGACGTATTATAAAAGGCTCTCTGTGGGTTTGTCTTCTGCTGAAGGATGCAGTTAAACGTCAGCCATATTTAAAAGATGCAGCTTCCCATTCACTTTTTTTTTAATCTCTGATGACACGCAAACTGCTCTGAGTCTGAGCGGCTGTCATGGCTGCCATGATGTGAGGAAAAAGTGAATGTGAAGCTTTAGACAGAAATGAAGATGGAGGAAAGTTTATTTTCCAAAGTAAGCTTGGTCAGCTCTATGGTAGGACTTCCCGGACCTATGCACTGTTCGGATATGGACCAGTACATTATTTGCTGTGGAAAGAAGCCGATCAGTTCACCGGGGGTCAGAGACAGACCCCCGCTGAAATTCTGGTCCTCCAGGCTTGAAGACAAACCCTACGATTGGTTCTAATTCAACATGCAGGTTAAGTAAATAAAAAACTGTAAAACACATGTTGAGTACCTGTACTATCTGTGTTCCTGTAGTATATAAATATGTGTATTGTAACTGGTGAATAATAATGTATATATATATATAAATATATATAAAGATTAGACCAAGCGTCTGGCTGCTGCTTCTTTTTCTTTAAAGGCAAGGCAAGGCAAGGCAAATTTATTTGTATAGCACAATTCAGTACAAAGACAATGCAAAGTGCTTTACATAATTAAAATATAGGAAAATAAAACAGAATCAAAGCAAGAAGGAAAAAAATAAAAAATGCAGAAACAAAAAAGACCATTAAAAACAGTTGGACTAAAGAAAATAAAAAAAAAGTTGAACTAATGATGTTTTAGTTGAACTGTTTAACTAGAACAGTCGAAGGCAATCCTAAACAAATGTGTTTTTAGTCTTGGTTTAAAGGAACTCAGGCTTTCCGCACTTTTACAGTTTTCTGGAAGTTGGTTCCAGATAAGTGGAGCATAGGAACTAAATGCTGCTTCTCCATGTTTAGTTCTGGTTCTAGGTACAGTATGCAGAGCAGGCTGGAGCCAGAAGACCTGAGTGGTCTGGAGGGTTGATACACTGATAGCAAGTCTGTGATGTATTTAGGTGCTTAAGCCATTCAGGGATTTATAGACTAACAGTATTTTAAAGTCTATTCTCTGAAATACAGGGAGCCAATGTAAGGACCATAGAACTGGGGTGATGAGTCAATGATCATATGTAAAGATAAACTAATTTCAGCAACATATTTTATGCTGTTCTGCTTTAAAAGTGTTCAATATGCAACAAGCATGCAAAGAAAAAAACCCAACAAAATCATCAGAGGATGCACGAACTGATCAGCCAGTCATTGGAAAGGAAAAACTTGACTTTTAATGCACAGATCAGACCCTTTAAATTATATTTGTTGGGTCTTTAAAATCAACCTTTTCTAATAATTAGCTTCATATTACTGCAATTTATTTTGGGTAAAAGGAAAGTGCCAATGGTGCATTTCCTGTTTCACAATTTTTAAAGTTATTGTTTAGAAACACGAAAGGATATATTGAAGTTATGAATTTCTAATGCAGATTTAACCAATGAGTTAAAAAAAAAAGATTAACTAGAGGTGTTCTAGTTAAACTCACATTGAGTTATAAAGACAGGAGGCAAGAATCTACGCCCTGCAAACCTAAATAGGCCTACAGAATTTATAACAATTAAAATAAATCTAAATAAATAAAAAGGTAGGATAATTAAATATAAGACAGCCAAACATTAAATTCTGGTAAAAAAAATCTTGGATGTATTAATCAACAATAGATTGATCGATCAAATCAGAGGTGTAGCTGTTTATAATATTAAAAATGTACATTGCTGGACTTTATGATTATAATAACATAAATGCCACACATTTTTGTACTAAAAATATCTGGTACTACCCTGTTGGTGTGCTCTGCGTCTGTACGACACGAATACAGTGTTCAAGTAAAGTGGGTTTACTCTTTGTTTTCAAACCAATCTTTAGTGAGTTCAATATTGCACCTTTTTTATCCGATGCTCTTGATGAAACTCAAAAACCTACTAAACCGTGTCTTCTAAAATAAAGTACTACTGAACCATGATTTCTGTGTGCTTTTACTCTAGAAAAACGAGTTAGGAAAAAAATTTACCTGCATGTTTTGGGAGGATTTTCCTTTTTTCTCCCTAAGAAACAATAGATTTTAATGGAACAAACAATTTATGTAGCTGGATAAATGTTATTACTTCTATTAGATAAGTAGACAGAGATGGGATTTTGTTTTCTGGGTCTACATCCACCCAGTTGCACTTATGCACACAATCATCTTAATGATACATAGAACGGTTTGCAATTTGGAGTTCGGCCTTGTCCGGGATCATATTGACAGTCTGTTACGAGAAAGCTGGAATCAAACCCACAACTTGCAAATTGCCAGATGTCTCTTATTGATTGATTGCCTTTATTGATCTCACAGTGGAGAAATTGACTCATTACATCAGCTCAAATAGTCAAAGGAGAAGAGGGAGGGGCAGAAGGAAGAAAAGGGTGCAGTTTATACTTATTATTATACTGGGTTATTGCAAAGAGTGTTTACATGGGTATTAATATCGATGGATATTTATATTTATATATATAGTTAATGCACTGGGTGTCAAATATAGAGAAACAGGTTATTGCACAGGGTATCAAATTGTAATTGCATTAGTTATTGCCCTTGTGTTGCATTATAGAATCAGTGGGGATGTCCAGCTCCTCAACAAGCTTACATCCATCATGGTGTCCATGATGGATGTAAGCTTGGAAAGCAACCTGCTCTCAGCCACTTCCTCCACTGCGTCCAGAGTGCAGCCCAGGATGGAAACGGCCTTTTCTACCAGTTTGTTCAGGCTCTTTCTGACCTTTGGAAAATGAATGGGATATATATATATTTCACTGTTACCAATAAAAAATAGTTGTCTTGAAGGTGAGCTTTAAAAGCAGGTGGAGATCGTCTGTCACTTTTCCATTTGTACTTTTCCCATTTTTGGGGGTAGTTAAAGCAGCTGTCTGTTGCTGAATTATAAAATTCCCATAAACGTATACTTAATGCAATCTAGTCTAATGGCTACAGGCATTACATTCTTCCCCTTTCGGGTTTTTATGTTTCTGATTTTTCGATTTCCCTGTTATTCATTGAGGTTTTAATAAGTCCTGATATATACAGTACATTTTTCTGGATGGGCATTAACACTTTTATTCATTTGCATTTATTTTTCTTGAGGCTTCTCATACTCCAGTCTTTCCAAATTTGGTTTTATTTCTCTTAGTTCTTTTTATTGATTTTACCTTTTGCTTAAAGTTTTTTTGAGTTTCATTTTAAGGTCCATTTGCGTTTTTTAGTCAATACCTTCACTTTCTGTTTCCGCTATTTAGCTCCACAGGTTAATAAATCAGTTAAGAGATGAAATAAGGACACTCCGATGTTAGCAAATATTTAAAAGTGTTCATATTAACATTCATAGAAATAAATATGTAAAAAAAAATGCTGTAGAGGACAGGAAAGGAAGGGAATAGGCAACAAATAAAGGTAAGAAAGTAGAAAGGTGAGGATGAAATGAGGAAGGTGAAAAAAGGGAACAATGAAGATTGAGGGCTGTGAAAAAAATAATTGATTGAGGGTGAAGAAGGAAGTATGAAAGATGAACAGAATTAATATTAAAGACAAAGGAGTAACAATTTACAAGACATTAGACTAGGAAAGTTCAAGAAACATATTTTAATACTTCTAGTTCCTTATTTAGACCTGAAAAGATCATTTCAGTACCTTTCTAAACTGTGCAGAAACCCTAAATAATATCTCAGCCTTTGAAATTGGACAACCTGAAATCCTATCGTTTAGTTTTTACATTTTCACATTCAAAGAACAACTGATTCTCTATACTATGATAATATATTTGGTATAAATTAGTAGAAATTAAAGGACTTTGCTTTTTTTATGTGTTGTAAAACATTTCATTTATTAGATAAAAATATTCAGAGAATAATACATTTCACATTCTGGGAACATTTAAAACAAAAGCAGCTTCAATAAAAACAGGAATAGTAACAAAAAAAAAAACACTGCGTGATGAGAATCTTGCTTTAGTTTGTTCATAAGTGGCAGCAGTGACAGAAACAGCATGACGACTGATTTTCAGGTTAATATATTAACTCAAAGCCGTGTACTTCCTTCCTAAGCCAGTTTCTCAGAAATAAACCCAGACATACTTCTACTGGTGCTGAATTTAAACATATTTACAATGTAAACTAATACCGGGACAATATATAAGGGTTGAATGAGTGTTAGAAGAGCAGGAAGGTGTAAAATAGCACAACACCAAGGGTATTAGAGCTTAAAGTTTCAACGCAGACCTTTATAATTAGCTTCTGCTCTGTTTATTCGGAGCACTGAGGTGTAAACCGAAAAATAAAAAAAAATCCATTAAGAAAAGCCAGCAGCACAGCAGCTAAGAACATGTTACATAATTACCGACCTTTATCACAGCAAAGCCCTCCCAGATTTCCCTCATTACAACCAAATTATTAATACTATACCTTTATCTGACCAAACAAAACACATTAAACCTGTTTAAGCCCCAAACACGAGATTTTCCCTGCAAGTGGAGTTTTTATCTTACTTCTTATTATTTATTAATAAACAGAAAATATGTTTGCTTTGTTTTAGATGTTAAATTCTTTAAAAACAAACAAAAAGTTACAAGTTGAACTTTATAAATGATTCACCTCCAACCCTCAACATTCACCCTACACAATAAATAAGACCTAAAACTGCAACACATCTCTGAATTTAGATGGTCTGTTCATGAATATCTTTTTCTTAGCTGTTTTCAAAGGAATGCATGCAAGACTATTTAGAAAAAGTGCTGCCGCCAACAAGAGGCTCATTCATAAGGTGAAGTTAATGTTCTTTTAACTACATGGTTAAAAAGAAACCAGCTTAGTTAGTGATGTTAGCATGCAGGACGGTGTCAAAAACATCTGGCTTGGTTGCCTTCTTGAATCTGCAGAGCGTTAAACTTTCATTGTGCAGATGTGAGCAGCTTTACATGAATAAAATAGAAAGAAGAGAAAACTAACGCTGTGTAGTTAAGCTTTTAGATGAATATTTGACAAAAGATTCTGGTGGAAGCTGATGGGTCAGAACTTAGTAACACAGAGAACTAAAACACAACTGGAATCTAGGAATGCATTTCTACACAAAGTAGAAGAAACAAAAGCAGCTCATTTATTGAATTAAATAAGATGGCAGTTATTGAAATTAAATAATAATTACTCCTATAAAAGAACAAGGAGTTTGCAACTTGGATCTCTGAAAGGAGATATTTTTGACTTATTTTACAAAAAAATAGGAACTTATTGTTTTTATCAGCATCTTGGACCCAATCTGAGAATCCTCGGGACGCAGACGGATGCTTCTGCCTTTTGGTGAACAGACTGGGTTTAAGTACCGTCTTTACTTCTGGTTCA